CATCCAGTCTAACATGTGGCTAAGCCCAAATCACTCTATGTACACATCCAGTCTAACATGTGGCTGAGCCCACAACAATGTACACATCCAGTCTAACATGAAGCTGAGCCCACAACACTCTATGTACGCATCCAGTCTAACATGTGGCTGAGCCCACAACACTCTATGTACGCTATCAGTCTAACATGTGGCTGAACCCACAACTCTCTATGTACACATCCAGTCTAACATTTGGCTGAGCCCACAACACTCTATGTACACATCCAGTCTAACATGTGACTGAGCCCACAACAATCTATGTACACATCCAGTCTAACATTTGGCTGAGCCCACAACACTCTATGTACACATCCAGTCTAACATATGACTGAGCCCACAACACTCTATAAACACATCCAGTCTAACATGTGGCTGAGCCCACAACACTCTATGTACACATCCAGTCTAACATGTTTCTGAGCCCCCAACACTCTATGTACGCATCCAGTCTAACATTTGGCTGAGCCCACAACTCTCTATGTACAACCTACATGTCCGGACTTCACTGACCATCTAAATGATTGGATCCTGCTGAAAATCCAAATGACGAGACCAGACTGTTCACCCAAATTCTTAGATTCTTCTCATCGTTGTTTTCTTCCAGGAGCAAGACAGCTCAGAGTGTATAGTCCAGACCATACTGTCCCTGATCAGTGACCCGAAAACTGACCACATGGATATCACGGAGGCCACCGCTAAGGAGGTTTTTACAAATCTGATCCTAGCAGGTGAGCTTATCAATGAAGAGCAAATCTGTCTGTGTGTCTGTCTGTGTGTCTGTCTGTCTATCTGTCTCTGTTTGCTTTTATTGGCGGGTGTATCCTTTCAGGTCAAGTTTATCTCTTAGTGCTTTCGCTGGCATGTGTGTCTTCTCATGTCATATATGTCTCCAAGCACTTACATTAGTGTGTGTATTCTCTCTGATAATGTTTATCTCTGAGTTCTTTCATTGGCGTGTGTATTCTCTTAGATCATGTTTATCTCTGAGTTCTTTCATTGGCGTGTGTATTCTCTTAGTGTATCCTCTCAGATCATATATGTCTTTAAGTGCTTTCACTGGCATGTGTATCCTCTCAGATCTTATCTGTCTCTAGGTAGTTTCATTGACATGTGTATACTAATAGATCATAACTATCTCTGGGTGCATTGATTCGAGTGTTTCCCCTCAGATCATATCTGTCTCTGGGTGTTTTCATTACCGTGTGTATCATCACAGATCATACCTCTCTGAGTGCTTTTATTGACATGTATATCCTTATAGATTATATCTGTCTCTGGGTGCTTTTGTTGAGATGTGTATCCTCACAGATCATGAGTCTATGAGTAATTTTAATGGCGTGCGTTTCTTGTCATGTCTGTCTCGGAGTACTTTTATCGACGTGTGTCTCCTCTCAAGTTAGGATTGTATTAGAGTACTTTTATTACCATATGTGTCTTCTCATGTCATATCTGTATCTGAATGCTTTCATTGGCGTGTGTGTTTTCTCAAATCAAGTGAGTCTCTGAGCACTTACATTGCCATTTGCATTCTCTAAGATCATGTCTGTCTCTAAGTACTTTCTTTGGCGTGTGTTTCCTCCAAGATCATATCTGTCTCTAAGTACTTTCTTTGGCGTGTGTTTCCTCTGAGATCATGTTTGTCTCTAAGTACTTTCTTTGGCGTGTGTATCCTCCAAGATCATATCTGTCTCTAAGTACTTTCATTGGCGTGTGTTTCCTCTGAGATCATGTTTGTCTCTGAGTACTTTCATTGGCGTGTGTTTCCTCTAAGATCACATCTGTCTCTAAGTACTTTCATTGGCGTGTGTTTCTTCTAAGATCATATCTGTCTCTGAGTACTTTCATTGACGTGTGTTTCTTCTAAGATCATATCTGTCTCTGAGTACTTTCATTCGCGTTCCTATCTTCACAGTTCATTGTCTTTAAGCACTTTCATTGGCATGTTTCTCCTCATAAATTATATCTGTCTCTGAGTACTTTCGTTGGCATTTGTATCCTCTCAGATCATATTTGCCTCTCAGTACCTTCATTGGCGTTTGTATCCTCGCAAATCAAGTTTGTCTCTACTTGGGAGCAATTTCGTTAGTGTATGTGTGGTCTAAAGGTCACCTAATGCTTTCATTGGTGTGTTTGTCCTCTCAGATCATACCTGTCTTTGAGTACACTCTCATTAGCGTTTGTATCCCCACAGAGCTAGTTTGTCTCTACTTGGAAATATTTTGTTATCATATGTGTGGTCTAAATGTCACCTAATAAATCTTCACATTTGTTGCCACAACTGCCACCACCACCACCACCACCCCCCCCCCCTCCCACTACAACATCGTCTTCTACTATTACTGCTACTACTATCACTACCAATAACTACTGTTACTTTCACTACTTCTACTACAACAACTGCTACTACTCATATTACTGCTGCTACTACTGATTATATCCATGATATTATCACAGCTACAATAACAATAGGAGTAAAACACACATACTAATATTTAGGGTGGATCTAGTATTTCTACTGTAAGTGATATTACTATTTTACCCCAACCTAAAATCTATAGATTACGTATCCTGTGTGGAAGCACCTGGCTTGAAATCTATAGATCACATAAACAGTCTGGCTAAACCGAACCTGAAATACATAGATTACATAAAAAGTGTTGCAATCCCTAACTTGAAATCTATAGATTATATAACTAGTATGCCAGCCTCTAACCTGAAATCTATAGATTTCATGGAGACATTAAAACCGAATGAAAATAGATCAGTGAGGTTCATAAAATAACAAGCACAAACTAAGAGTGAATGTTGTCGCTATAGAGCCTTCGCCAGCACATACATAAATCAAACAAAACCACACGAATTCACACAATTACTTAACTGACATATTCTGAAGCAGTCACGTTGATGTCTAGCCGGTGAAATGAAGAGACACATGTGACCCAAGGCTAAATAGCCTGGAAATGCTAATAGCCGTAACTAGGTGGAAATCAAGCGATTCGCAAGAGACATGCTTACTCTGTAGCTGGAGTGGCTAGATTTAATTGCTGTCATCTCCATGTCGTGGACACCCTGGTGATCCTGGACTGAATGAAGTGCAACGGTTCTGTTTTTAGGGCACCATTCTGCAGATCCAAAAGATGTTGCCTCAGCTTGTTAGCCAGTTGTAGACCCGTTTCCAAATGTATTTCATGCCACATCTTTTGCAGTTGATGACGTAAATGACATTGCGGCTCGTGCAATAGAATGCTTCATGTGTGTAGAAGGCGGCATTGGGAATTTTAGACTGGTCCCCTTGACCACACATGGACAAGTCTTGCATACGGATATGTGGCAGGAGACCGTGCCTAAGTGGGACTCAGATGTAGGACGTAACCGACTCTTGACTTGAGATTACGGTAATGTCTGAATGTCACAAGGGGAGCCTCCGAGAAAATCGTGCTGGTTGCATGGTCAGCCGTGTGATGGAGATATGTCTGAGGAGAATGTGTTTAGCACGGATGCTGTGATGGTGGTAGGTAAGTGAGAGGATGGTCTGTTTTGGTGACGTTTAGGCTTGGAAACGTATGCCTCAGCACGACTGATATACTGTGGTCGGGAAAGGCAGCAAATAAAACGTGTCCAGAATAACTTCGACGCCAGAAGAAGTCCAGCATTTCCAGAGCTTCACAGTAAAACTCCTCGTTCTCCTGACACATCTGCGGAGGCGTAAAAGCAGGGAGAAAAAGCAGGAATAGAGAGAGAGAGAGAGAGAGAGAGAGAGAGAGAGAGAGAGAGAGAGAGAGAGAGGAGAAGACGTGTAGAGGAGAAAAGCATGGGAATCAGTAGCCTTATAGAACACCGAGGTGTTGGGGTCTTTAGAATCCAAGGCGACAGTTAGGTCTAGAAAACGCACCAACGATTAAAGTTAGAGAAGAAATAAATAAGTCATGTAGTTCAGGCAGGGGCATATTGGACACACTGATACAGTCATCGATATACCTTCTATAGAGCTTGGAGAGTCTAACAGTATTTGCATGACGTACCTGATGTTCCAGATAGCCCATGAGAAGTAGGGATTTATAGCTCACATCTTGGTGCCGATAGCGACGCCCCTGATCTGATTTAAACAGTGGTCACTAAATTCGAAAGAGCTAAGACCAAGTACTAAATCAGTCAGATCTATTTATGTGATTCAACTCCATCAGGAGCGTACAACGAGCCACCAACACCCGGGACACAGAGTCCCAGAAACCCCGTTCAACCGTTATTATATTAAGGCCTCTGACTACGGCTGGGGTGGGGCCTTAAAATAACGACAAATTGCGTCCTATATTGGGACGGCTTCTAGTACTCGGTCAGATATATCAGAGGGAGAATCTATAGATTACATAACCTCTGTGGCTGTCCCTAACCTGATATCTGTTGGCAATCTAAGATAAGATGGTACTATTTGTGCAGGAACTGACACAACAGCTTCAGCCCTGACCTGCCTGTTGCTGGTATTTCTTCACAATCCCGATGTCCAGGATAAAATATGGGCGGAGATAAGAACTCATGTAGGTGAAAGCCGGTTAGTGAGTCTTGCAGACCGCGCCAACATGCCCTACATGCAAGCCGTCCTGTTGGAGCTGCTGCGCTACATCTCTCACGTCCCATTGGCTGTGCCACATTACACAATACGAGACACTTGTGTCCAGGGAATACATGTACCCAAGGATATGACAGTAAGTTCCACATTAATTGTTTAATGAATCTGCGATTGAGAGAGTGATGAGTGAATGTTCCTGTTTTACACAGTGATATGATTTATTTTACTACGTGTCACACAGTGTGACATCTTACATTATCTCCCCTAGTCCTGTGTCACACAGTGAGACAGCTTAAATTTTCTCCCCTGTTTTAATGTAACATTAGGACAGCTTACAAAATTTTCCCTCTTCGCGTGTCACACAGTGAGACAGCTTAAATTTTCTCCCCTGTTTTAATGTAACATTAGGACAGCTTACAAAATTTTCCCTCTTTGCGTGTCACACAATGAGAAAACTTTTAGTGACTTTCTTGGTCACACACTGAGACTGCTCATATAATCTCGATTGTTCCAGTGTTGCTTAGTAAGAAAACTTACATCATCTTCCTTGTTGCAGTATCACACTGTAAGACAGCTTATATTGTCTACCTTATTCCAATGTGACATAGTGAGGTAGCTTTCATTATCTCCCCTGTTTTAGTGTTACTAAACTACGTATGTATGTATGTACATATGTATGTGTGTGTAGTAATGTATTATGTATGAAGGTATGTGTGTGTAAGCATGTATGAGTGTGTGTACCTGTGTGTGTATGAATATGTGCGTGTGCATATGTGTGTGTATATTTGTTTATGTATGTGGATGTAAGTGAATGTATGTATGTGAGTATGTATATGTATGTAATTATGCATGTATGTATATGTGCATGTATGTATGCATTATTTCATTTTTTTAATCAAAATAACATAACATGCGTTATTGATAACATGCACTGATGCTCTGGAAGATGAGTGCTTAAAGTGGCCGAATGTGAGTCGGGCCTTGGTGTAGAATTTGTAACCCTTTGGAAATAAAGTTCGTTGGTTTATTCTCCTATCACACAGTGAGACAGCTTAAATTATGTTCTCTGTTGACTGACTTTCTACCCCACCAGGACATCACACAAGCGATAAACACCCGATGACACAATGTGCCACCATGTGGATGAGGATAACCGTGGAGAGGTCCCAGAAACCGCATTCAGACTATTGGCTATATTTATGGCCTGCCTATATTGTGGCCCCTGGCAAAAGCCAGGGTGGGGCTTCAAATAACAAAAAATTTCATCCTGAAAAGGACGAAACGATAGACATAATATTGCGGCCCCTGGCAAAAGCCAGAGTGGGGCTTCACACAACGAAAAATTTCGTCTAAAAAGGACGCAAGGATATATGGTATGTTCTCTGTTCAAGTGTCACACAGTAAGACATCTTAAATTATCTACCTGTACCATGTTACTAGTGAGACATCTTACATCATTTCCCCTGTTCCAGTGTCACACAGTGAGACATCTTACATTATTTCCCCTGTTCCCGTGTCACACAGTAAGACATCTTATATTATCTACTGTACAGTGTTACTTAGTGAGACATCTTACATTATTTTCCCTGTTCCCGTGTCACACAGTAAGACATCTTATATTATCTACCCTGTACCGTGGTACTAGTGTGACATCTTACATTATTTCCCCTGTTTCTGTGTCACACAGTGAGACATTTTATATTATCTACTGTACCGTGTTACTTAGTGAGACATCTTACATTATTTCCCCTGTTCCCGTGTCACACAGTGAGACATTTTATATTATCTACCCTGTACCGTGTTACTTAGTGAGACATCTTACATCATTTCCCCTGTTCCCGTGTCACACAGTGAGACATCTTACATTATTTCCCCTGTTCCCGTGTCACACAGTAAGACATCTTATATTATCTACTGTACCGTGTTACTTAGTGAGACATCTTACATTATTTTCCCTGTTCCCGTGTCACACAGTGAGACATTTTATATTATCTACCCTGTACCGTGTTACTTAGTAAGACATCTTACATTATTTCCCCTGTTCCCGTGTCACACAGTGAGACATTTTATATTATCTACCCTGTACCGTGTTACTTAGTGAGACATCTTACATTATTTCCCCTGTTCCCGTGTCACACAGTGAGACATTTTATATTATCTACCCTGTACCGTGTTACTTAGTGAGACATCTAACATTATTTCCCCTGTTTCTGTGTCACACAGTGAGACATTTTATATTTTCTACCCTGTACCGTGTTACTTAGTGGGACATCTTACATTATTTTCCCTGTTTCCGTGTCAGACAGTTAGCTTATATTATCTCCCCTGAACCTTTATTTCTTAGGGAAATCGTCAAGAGATTGCAAATTCAACGCTAATTGAACCTGATCGCATCTCCAGCTGGTGTGTAGATTCTAATACCCATGTTAGCCTTTTAAAGGCCTAGGTAACGTGGACAGGCATATAGTGAAGGCAGATTTATCAGCAGTGGAAAGTAGCGACGAAATTTGGACGAGAACAAATCTTATAACATGCCTCGGTTTGATCGCAGCCTGTCTTTTAAAGAACTAGTTGTCCACATTATAACAAAAGCACGCAAAGGCATGTCAGCAATAAGGGTCCTGACCGCAGCTAATATTGAGCAGAGACTGCTTCAGCTTCTTTTCCAGGGACTCGTATTTTCTCTGATCTAATTTGCTATAGCCATTCTCACTGTCAGCCAAATTCAGATTAAAAAACCTGAGAAGGTGCAAAACGAAGGAATGCACATTATTCTGGGGTGAACTGGAGACACCTCTTGTGTAGCAATGAGATACCTTCTTAACTTACCTGCCATGAACTAGAGGATCAAGATCTGGAGGACACATCCATACCCCAAGATAAGCTCAAAACTGAAGCATCATTTGCACCACATGCTCTTCAGGAAAAGAGCAATAAACTTAAAAGTGTCAAATTATGACTGGGTAGGGCAAAGGATGACATCATGCAGGTATGCAGCCTTTCAGATATCCAGCCAGGTGAGGAATGGATACCAGCGCACAAGCTCACGTTCTCCTGTGTCGAGACGCTTGATAGGAGTTGTCGGGAGCAGAATCCAGCGGCTGTCAACTCTTATCAGTGACACGTCAAACGAAACAGATGTTCTGATTTTCCCAGAGGGGTCCGTTATACAGCTCGCTCTTCAGGCTGGTTACTCAGACAGTAGATTGAGTCATTGCTAAACTCTCAGTGTGTGTGCTGAGTGATTCTGTGAGCATGATCTGCCGGGTCGAGGCAGGCTGGTTACTCAGACAGTGGATCGATCCAGTCATTGCTAAACTCTCAGTGTGTGTGCTGAGTGATTCTGTGAGCATGATCAGGCTGGTCGAGGCAGGCTGGTTACGCAGACAATGGATCGATCGAGTCATTACAAAACTCTCCTGAAAAACCTTCATTTATGTCTCAGGGATGCAGCTATTGTTAGTAAAGAAAGACCTGAAATACTGGCTTGTGCCGCATTAATTGAACATAGCAGACCCATGGATCACGCAGGCATTGTCAATGCCTTAGAGCAGACCAGCGGCAAGTCATGGAATTTAAAAAGTAAAGGACCCTTTTCCACGCCTTTAGGCATATAGGGCTAGACCTATATTTTTATAGACCAATCGGCACAAGATGGGTGATGTGGTCAGCATCACGCCGGCCACCTTTACTTCCCAGGACTGGACCCGGTACCCACTCAAGGCTGGGTCGAACTGGGAGCCAAAGTAATTTTTGAAAAAAAGTCTGGCTCCGCCAGGGAGCGAACACACGACCTTCGGATCCGCGGCGAACGTCTAGCCGCTCTGCCACGGCGACTTCCCGCTGGCAAGTAATGCACCAATGCAAATGGGAAAAAGCATGGACAGAGCTGATATCATCAACGTCGTATGGATTAGGTTGGGAGATAATGGCGAATCTCCGTCTTAGAGGTAAAGACACGAGATACTATAACCAACTCCTCATGGGAACAATAAGTAGAGGTACCTTGAAGTGGCTGCTGCATCAGAGGACTGAGCACCCATGGGGATGCTCAATGTGCAAAGGCGTCGATTGTGATGACATAACAAAACATAACAATGCCCTTAGAGAGATAGGACGTTCCATGGATTTTCGAAGCACCGTATGCACATCACTGTTAAGAATACAACAATTGTGAGTAAAGATTTGCACAGCCGATCATGAGAAGCACACAAAGTGCTATCAAACAAACAGCAGATGACTGGCCTATTAAACGCGCGACGCTGATAGATATGTTGATGGGGAAACTGAGCACCTCCAGATGTGTCCGGCGTGCTGTGAAGATAATTCAACTCATAAATTATAACTTAGTGAGACAGCTTACATTATCTTCCCTGTTTCCGTGTCACACAAAGAAACAGCTAATATTATCACCCATGTTCCCGTGTCACACAGCAAGACAGCATATATTGTCTCCCCTGTTAGCGAGTCACACATTGAGACAGCTTATATTGTCTCCCCTCTAAGCGAGTCACACAGTAAGACAGCATATATTGTCTCCCCTGTTAGCGAGTCACACAGTGGGACAGCATATATTATCTTCCCTGTTCCTGTGTCACACAGTGAAACCGCTTACATTATTCCCCCTGTTTTCGTGTCACTCAGTGAAATAGCTTATTTTGTCTCCCCTGTTCCTGTATCACACAATGAGACAATTTTAATTACCTCTCCTCGTCCTGTGTCACACAGTAAGATAGCTTATATTATCACCCCTGGTCCTGTGTCACACAGTGAGACACAGCCCTTGTATAGGGTATCGGAGTGTAAGAAAGAGCTTGTAAGAATGCCCGTTTTTTTTTCTACCACCCTTTCTCCTGTGTTATACAGTGAGATAGACTAAATTATCTTTCCTGTTCCCGTGTTACACATTGAGACAGTTTATTTTTCCTCCACTGTTTGCGAGTCAAACATTGAGACAGCCTAAATGATTTCCCATGTTCTCGTGTCACACAAGAAGACATTAAATTATCCCCCCTGTTCCAGTGTTACTTAGTGAGACAGCTTACATTATCTCCCCTGTTTCCCTGTCACACAGTGAGACAGTTTGTATTACCTCTCCTGTTTACGTGTCACACAATGAGATAGATTATATTATTACCCCTGGTCCTGTGTCACACAGTGAGACACAGCCCTAGTTTCGGGTCCGGGAATGTCGGAAAGAGTTTGTAAGTGTGCCCATTGGTTCAGACTCTGGTCACAGCTGTTAGGTCGGTAGAGTACTGTAGGGGCTAGTGTGTGACAAGGTTGGTAACCCATGCTACCTTCTTCCAGGCTAACTGCCTTACTGCTTGTGTTAGACTGAAGACTGATTTGAATGCTTTGACTGTGTTTGGTTTAGTTGTGTTTAGAGTTAGACATTTTTGCCATTTGCCTTGACCAGCACCCACTGAGCCATTTGCCTTGACCAGCACCCACCGAGCCATTTGCCTTGACCAGCACCCACCGAGCCATTTGCCTTGACCAGTACCCACTGAGCCATTTGCCTTGACCAGCACCCACCAACCATTTGTCTTGACCAGCACCCACCCAACCATTTGCCTTGACCAGCACCTACCCAGCCATTTGACTTGACCAGCACCAACTGAGCCATTTGCCTTGACCAGCACCCACTGAGCCATTTGCCTTGACCAGCACCCACTGAGCCATTTGCCTTGACCAGCACCCACTGAGCCATTTGCCTTGACCAGCACCCACCCAACCATTTGCCTTGACCAGCACCCACTCAACCATTTGCCTTGACCAGTACCCACCCAACCATTTGCATTGACCAGCACCCACCCAGCTTTTTGCCTTGACCAGCACCCACTGAGCCATTTGCCTTGACCAGCACCCACTGAGCCATTTGCCTTGACCAGCACCCACCCAACCATTTGCCTTGACCAGCACCCACCCAACCATTTGCCTTGACCAGCACCCACCCAGCTTTTTGCCTTGACCAGCACCCACCCAACCATTTGCCTTGACCAGCACCCACCCAACCATTTGCCTTGACCAGCACCCACCCAGCTTTTTGCCTTGACCAGCACCCACCCAGCTTTTTGCCTTGACCAGCACCCACCCAGCTTTTTGCCTTGACCAGCACCCACCCAGCTTTTTGCCTTGACCAGCACCCACCCAGCTTTTTGCCTTGACCAGCACCCACCCAGCTTTTTGCCTTGACCAGCACCCACCAACCATTTGCCTTGACCAGCACCCACCCAGCTTTTTGCCTTGACCAGCACCCACTGAGCCATTTGCCTTGACCAGCATCCACTGAGCCATTTGCCTTGACCAGCACCCACTGAGCCATTTGCCTTGACCAGCACCCACCCAACCATTTGCCTTGACCAGCACCCACCCAGCCATTTGCCTTGACCAGCACCCACCCAACCATTTGCCTTGACCAGTACCCACCCAACCATTTGCATTGACCAGCACCCACCCAGCTTTTTGCCTTGACCAGCACCCACCGAGCCATTTGCCTTGACCGGTACCCACCCAGCCATTTACCTTGACCAGCACCCACCGAGCCAGGATACCAACATCATTTAACCTGGACCACTTGAAAAAAAAACTAGCTGTCCAGCGAACAATGAACTCGTTTCCTGTTCAGTGAGACCACAGGCCCATGTTAGTAAAGTAGACTATTTTCGACTTCTTCATGCGTGATGGGCATTTAGGGCTAGACCTCTGTTTTATACACCAGTCAACACTCGCTAAATTTAATCTTGACACCCCAGGAAATGTGGGGTGGGTGGGGGGGAGGAACAGTACCACTGTCTTGGGAGGAGAAAATGCAAACACTGGCTGATCAGCTGAGTACCGGCGATTGTATCTACAGCTTTCTCGACTGACTGCTCGACTTGAGACAACTGAACTGGTGAAGCCTGTGTAATCTTAGATTGTTTCCCTTGCTGCAGGTGTACATCAACTTGTGGTCAGTCCACCACCATCCCGCCGACTGGGATCAGCCGTGGACTTTCCTGCCGGAGCGCTTTCTGGACCAGACCGGTCAACTGCTGCCTCTCAGTAGTCCAACCAGGAAAAGGTCAGTGGGGCGGTCGTTGTGTTCCACGGAGCATGTTCTTTACTATATCCATCCATCCATCGTTCCATGCATCCATCCCTCCGTCCATTCTCCATCCATCCATCCATGCATCCATCCATGCATCCATCATCCGTTCTTTTTCAATCCATCCATCGATGCGTCTATCAGTTCGTTCAACCATTCATTCATCAATCGATCAATCGATCCATTAATCCATTATTCATCCATTCCTGCATATATATACACACATAGATACATATATATATATAAAAATATATATATAAATATATATATATATATATATATATATATATATATATGTGTGTGTGTGTGTACATGTATACACACATCTATACACATACATACATAAATATGTGTATTTACATCATTATATACATAGGTACATACATATATATATATATATATATATATATATATATATATATATATATATATATATATATATATATATATATATATATATATATATATATATATATATATATATATATATATATATATATATATATATATATATATATATACCTGTACATATTTATGCACATATTATGTACGTTTGTAAACAAAATGTATGCGCCTATATGCATACACACGATACATACATACATACCTACCTACCTACCTACCTACCTACCTACCTACATACCTACATACCTACCTACACACACACGCACACATGCACGTGGAACATATACAATCACACACACACACACACACACACACACACACACACACACACACACACACATAGAGGCAAGAATGTACATACATAACATTAATGTCTCTAACATGTTTCTGTAATGTCACTGTTTCTGTCATTTCTCCATCTCTGATGTGTCTCTGTATATGTTATGTCCCTGTGTCTGTCATATCTCTATCTCTGTCATGCCCCTGTCTCCTTTCATGTCACTTCTCATGTCGCATCCCTGTCTCGGTTAAGCCCCTGTCTATGTCATGTCCCTGTCTATTTCATGTCCCTAACTACTGCCTGTCTCAGTCATTTCTGTCTATATCTAATTCGTGACCTTTGCGGTTAAATGATTGTCTCCCTCTTATGGTTGAAATTATTGCCTTCTGCAGATTGCTGATGTTCGGTGCTGGCAGGCGGGTGTGTCTCGGGGAAATTCTGGCTAAGAACAGTTTATTTCTTTTCGCTGCAGCTCTGGTACAGAACTTCCGGTTTGTTTCCTCGGCCAAGGACGAGAGAAGTGGTCAGCTGCCTCCTGTGGACCCCAGAACCTACGAGATGGGACTGGTGCTCCACCCGCGGCCCTTCCAGCTGAGAGCGATACCCCGTCATTAAAATTATCTTCTGAGACACCCTGGTTACCAAGGATACCGTCAAACTCGTAGTGCGTTTGTCCCAGTGACCGAAGCTAATCCACAAGTTCAACCAGTGGCGTCCTCTGACTGAGAACAGCTTGTCGTTGGGGAGAGTCAGGGCGAGATCCCCAACCATTACAGCTGTCTAGTAATAGTGTTTTAAATTTGGTGTATGGGTGAGCTAACAAACTCACTTTAGTGAGTCAAAATTAGACTCCGGTACCCGTCTTATATTTGGATCTAAGAGAGAGAGAGAGAGAGAGAGAGAGAGAGAGAGAGAGAGACAGACAGACAGACAGACAGACAGACAGACAGACAGACAGACAGACAGACAGACAGACAGACAGAGAGAGAGAAGTTGAAAGAGAGTAGACTGGTTCCAGTGTGGTCTTTCTGCACATCAGGTAAATGAAAACTTCAGACAGTTTGTCTTAGAGTGAAGTCACAATTGACAGTGGGATATCACACATCGTAACATACATCCACAGAGTGACGTCACGAATATATGTTCTCACAACAAATATCCACAGAGTAAAGGTATGAACATCTGTTCTCACAACAAACATCCACAGAGTAAAGGTATGAACATCTGTTCTCACAACAAACATCCACAGAGTGACGTCACGAATATCTGTTCTCACAACAAATATCCACAGAGTAAAGGCATGAACATATGTTCTCACAACAAACATCCACAAAGTAAAGCTACGAACATTTGATCTCTCAACAAACATCCACAAACTAAAGGTACGAACATCTAATCTCTCAAGAAACATCCACAAAGTAAAGGTATGAACATCTGTTCTCACAACAAACATCCACAGAGTAAAGGTATGAACATCTGTTCTCACGACAAACATCCACAAAGTAAAGGTATGAACATCCTTTCTCACAACAAACATCCACAGAGTGACGGTATGAACATATGTTCTCACAACAAACATCCACAGAGTAAGGGTACGAACATATGTTCTCAAAACAAATATCCACAGAGTAAAGGCATGAACATCTGTTCTCATGACAAACATCCACAGAGTAAAGGTACGGACATCTGATCTCACAACAAATATCCACAGAGTGACAGCACGAACATCTGTTCTCACAACAAACATCCACATAGTAAAGGTACGAACATCTGTTCTCACAACAAACATCCACATAGAAAAGGTGCGAACATCTGTTCTCACAACAAACATCCACAGAGTAAAGGTACGAACATCTCACAACAAACATCCACAAAGTAAAGATATGAACACACAGAGCTAGAATGAGAGAGACAGCAAGAGAGAGAGAGAGAGAGACAGCGAGAGAGAGAGAGAGAGAGAGAGAGAGAGAGAGAGAGAGAGAGAGAGAGAAATAGAGAGAGACAGGCGGCGTGACAGAGAAAAACATGGCGACCGAAAGGCAGACCGAGTGAGGGACATACACACACACACACAGAGAGAGGGAGAGAGAGAGAGAGAGATAAAGAGAGAGAGAGAGAGCGCAGAGTTAGAGAGAGAGTTGAATGTCTAGCAACAGTCGCACACGATAAGAATATGTAGATGTCCGCAGATTTCACGTGCTTTGGCTGGCGCTGACACATAAACATTTTTCAAACACACAATGTTTTAGTTTTTATTTTGGAGGTGTGAATTTGTGTATGTGTGTGTTTATGTGTGTATATGTGTGTGTGTGTGTGTGCTTGTGTGTCAGAAAGAAAGCGATATAGAGAAACAGAGAGAGAAAGAGAGAGAGCTTAAACAGACGCAGAGAGAGGCAGAGAGAGGGACAGAGAGAGAGCTTAGACAGAGGCAGAGAGAGGCAGAGAGAGGGACAGAGAGAGGCAGAGCCAGAGAGAGGCAGAGCCAGAGAGAGAGTCAGAGAGAGAGTCAGAGAGAGGCAGAGAGAGGCAGACAGAGGGACAGAGAGAGGCAGACAGAGGGACAGAGATAGGCAGACAAAAGAAAAGAGAGGGACAGAGAGAGGGACAGAGAGAGGCAGAGAGAGAGGGACATAGAGAGAGGGACAGAGAGAGGGACAGAGAGAGGAAGAGAGAAGCAGAGACAGAGGGACATAGAGAGAGACAAAGAGAGAGGGACAGAGAGAGAGGGACAGAGAGAAGGACAGAGAGAGGCAGAGAGAAGCAGAGACAGAGGGACATAGAGAGAGGCAGAGAGAGGCGGAGAGAGGCAGAGCCAGAGAGAGAGGCAGATAGAGGCAGAGAGAGGGACAGAGAAAGGCAGAGAGAGGCAGAGAGAGAGGGACAGAGAGAGAGAGACAGAGAGGCAGAGCCAGAGAGAGACAGAGAGGCAGAGAAAGATAGAGAGGGACAGAGAGAGGCAGAGAGAGGCAGAGAGGGACAAAGAGAGGGACAGAGAGAGGAAGAGAAGGCGGAGAGGGAGAGGGACAGAGAGAGGCAGAGAGAGAGGGACAGAGAGAGGCAGAGAAAGGCAGAGAGAGGGACAGAGAGAGGCAGAGAGAGGCAGAGAGAGGGACATAGAGAGGCAGAGAGAGGCAGAGAAGCAGAGAAAGGTAGAGAGGGACTGAGAGAGGGACATAGAGAGACAGAGAGGGCCAGAGAGAGGGACAGAGAGAGGCAAAGAGAGGCAGAGAGAGGGACAGAGAGAGGCAGAGAGAGGAAGAGAGAGGGACAGAGAGAGACAGAGAGAGGAAGAGAGAGGGACAGAGAGATGCAGAGAGAGGGACAGAGAGAGGCAAAGAGAGCTAGAGAGAGAGGGACATAGAGGGACATAGATAGAGGGATATAGATAGAGGGACAGAGAGAGGCAGGGAGAGGCAGAGAGAGGCAGAGAGAGTGGGACATAGAGAAAGGGACAGAGAGAGGGCAGAGAGAGGCAGAGAGAAGCAGAGATAGAGTGACATAGAGAGAGGCAGAGCCAGAGAGAGAGGCAGAGAGAGGGACAGAGAGAGGCAGAGAGAGGGACAGAGAGAGACAGAGAGAGGCAGAGCCAGAGAGAGAGGCAGAGAGAGGCAGAGAGAGAGGGACAGAGAGAGAGACAGAGAGAGGCAGAGAGAGGCAGAGAGAGAGGGACAGAGAGAGGCAGAGAAAGGCAGAGAGAGGCAGAGCCAGAGAGAGAGACAGAGAGAGGCAGAGAGAGAGGGACAGAGAGAGGCAGAGAGAGTCAGAACCAGAGAGAGAGACAGAGAGATGCAGAGAGAGGCAGAGAGAAAGCGACAGAGAGAGATACTTCGATTGTGTTCATGCGATACATCCTTGCATTACAGATTGATGCAAATAGGCTAAAAGTGCAGCCGGCTAAGTCATACCTCAGAGTAGCTGCAGACAAAAAAATGCCTCTGTATAAGGCTTTGGTTACAAGTAAAGGTCAGAAGCTGAAAAGGGAAAAATATCGTGGATGGCTCAAGCAGAAGACATAATCAAACAAGTGTGCATGCGGAAGAGAAATCTGACCTGTGTAGGGTTATGATCACATTGTTCCAGGAGTGCACAGAGAGGCCGGCGCGTGCTACGGAAGTTGAAGTCCAACAGTTGATTAATGACAATTCTCGCCCAGGTAATTTGATTATCTGTACGAATTGTTCGTTGTTGAGAGGTAAGAGAAGTACCTGGGAGTTCGTACCTTACAATGGCGGGCACAGTCTCGGCAACTGATCATCCACCGGAGTAAATCGGCAGCTGAGCAGAGAAGTGCACTCCTTCTCCTGCAGTAGGAATTGCTGTCAAATATAGAGGTGAAGGCCCCAATGTGGAATGTGGGGAATGCAACAGTAAACCACCCCACATTATCTTTCCAAGTATTATGAAGTCACAGATTTAATCATGAACGACGCTTATGGATGTCTTCGAACAGCTTCGTCTGGTAGGGACTGTCATAATCAACAGGTGACCCCAGACCGTCATCGAACTACTTAGTAAAAAAACTAGAATAGAACTGGTAATTTTCGACTTAAGAAAAATTAGGGAAGGTTTGATAAGGCCTTAGGAGATGCAGAAGTAAACTCAAACCTGTAAATTAGTAGATAAATGGCAGGGGTCTTGTAGAATAGTTAGTGAACTACAATACAATAAATATATTCAAGACCCCCCCAGTGTTTGATGAACAAACAGCTAGATCAATTGAAGAATATTGGAATATATCGAGAGGTTATTACCCCCCCCCCCCACTTAAAGGCAAGCCAGTACAATCAGAGCATACTGATGAGTTGAGTTGATCAATGATTGACCTCAACAGCACTCATGGCATTCCATGCATGCTCCGTCCTCATCTCCAGAGCCTCAGCACAGAGTCCAATACTGATGTACCGGTCACAATCTGGTTAAAAGTTTTCTACTGAGTGTCGTGAGCCGCAGAGCCCCTGGTTACATCCATGTGCTCACCCCTAACGGTCTAGTAACATACCTGATCACCCCCCCCACCCCCCCGACACATATCGAAGCTCATGTTCACCCCCCCTTGGTTTCGATGATCTGACTGAAGAACACCCCCACAGAGACAATACTGAGACCTTTCCGAAAGTCCACCTATACTGTCCCGCATCATAAGAAACCCACACCCCCCCCCCCCCCCCCCCCCCCCAGAGATCCGAAGAAAAGCATTCGTGTACCAGAACCGTGTTTACATGATATAACACTGCCAAACCAAGCTAAAGACCTATATGTAACATAACTTATATTTAACATACTTTTTGTCACTTATACATTCAAATATAACATAAATATTATAGAAACTAACTATCGCGGCATAGAAACTTACATGTAACCTAAATTACATACAACCGACATAATTCCCCACACAAACTTACATACAACGTAACTTTTTTGGAACCTAACTACGATTAAAAACCTACATATGACATAACACGTAGAACCTAACGGTTGTCGTATATAAACTTACATCTAACGTAACATATATAGAACCAAATTATAGCTACATATAAACTTACATATAACATGGCTTATTTAGAACGTTTGCCCTAAAGAACCAGAGAGTTTCAAGAAATACCATTATGGTTTTATAATTTAGTGCCACCGCCACCGCGCGAAAGAGGATTGGCAACACACCACGGTGTGGCAAGCACAGCTCTGGCAACTGATCATCCACCGGAGTAACTCGGCAGCTGAGCAGAGAAGTGCACTCGCTTCTCCTGTCAGTAGGAAATTGCTGTCAAAGATAGAGGTGAAAGACCCCAATGTGGATGTGGAATGCAACAGGAAACCACCACATTATCTTTCCAAGTATTAATGAGAGTCACAGATTTAATTCAGTGAACGACGCTTATGGATGTCTTCGAACAGCTTCGTCTGGTAGGGACTGTCATAAGCAACAGGTGACCCCAGACCGTCATCGAACTACTGAGGAAAAAAACTAGAATAGAACATGGAATGTTCGAACTTAAGAAAATTAGGGAAGGTTGATAAGGCCTTAGAGAAATGCAGAAGGTAAAACTCAACAACCTGGAAATTAGTGAGATAAGATGGAAGGGGTCTTGTAGAATAGTTAGTGACACAAATACAATAATATATTCAAGAATTAAAAAGTGTTTGATGAAAAAACAGCTAAATCAATTGAAGAATATTGGAATATATCGGAGAGAGTTATTCTGGTTAAACTTAAAGGCAAGCCAGTACACATCAGTAGCATACATGAATGAGTTGAGTTGAATCAAGGATTGACATCACAGCACTCATGGCATTCCCATGCATGCTCCGTCCTCATCTCCAGAAGCCAGCACAGAGTTCCAATACTGATGGTACCGGTCACAATCTGGTTAAAAGTTTTTCCTCTGAGTGTAGTGAGCCGGCCAGAGCCCCTGGTTACATCCAGGTGCCTCATTCTACGGTCTAGTAACATACCTGATCAAAAATCAATTACCGGACACATATCTAAAGCTCATGTTCAGTAACTGGGTTTCGATGATCTGACTGAAGAAACATGTCCACAAGAGACAATACTGAGACCTTTCCGAAAGTCAACCTATACTGTCCCATCATAAGAAAACCCAGATGATAGTGATAATTTAAGTATCAGAGATCCCGAAGAAGAAGCATCGTGTACCAGAGACCGGTGGTTACATGATATAACACTGCCAAACCAAGCTAAAGACACCTCACATGCCGACAGATTACCAGATGTTCAGTCAGAGACCTTACAAGATAGTTCGTCTGAAGTGCAACACAACAGATCAGAAGAAAACGATGCATTCTATCGTAACAGCAGAGCAGCAGCAAAAAAGAAAATTAATACGAGAGAAGATGAAAGCATTCAAACGTTTATGCAGAAAATTTTCTGTCTCATCCGATGGAAGTGATTGACCCATTCCCGTCCTCACTGTCATTTCTGCCCTAATCTTTGCTTGGTTGTCTATGTAGCTTAGTTTTTTCTTATGTCAGTCATTGTGGTACGTATTGCTGTCATTTTTTTGTGTGTGTGCTGATCTGTGCTTCATTTAGATATACAAATAGTGGTCGATGGTCAGCACTGAATGGGATGTATTACTCTTGAGTCTTTTAACAATTTTCTCCTCTTTTGTCGTTTCGGTGCGAAGTCCAGCTGTGTGGTCTGTTCTGGGTTGTCCCAACTGGTCTGGTTTGTCTCGACTAGTTCACCGTTTATATAAATATCGAAAGCTCACTGTTTATAGAAACATGAATAGTTCACCATTTAAATAAATATTGATAGCTAACTGGTCATAAAAACATGAATAGTTAATAAAAATACGGATAGTTCCCTCTGAACGAACACATTGTTTAAAATCACAAATGTGCTTACTGTAATAAGGCAAGGACCATCGGAAGTGGACGAACCGGATGTAGATGGTTGCCGACACGGCCACGACTCCAGCAGTCACATAGACATAACGTAGGTCCGGGCTGATGACCAGCGGTGCCACGAAGAGGTAAACACTCAGCATCAGCATCAGGATGGGGATCACTAGCGGGATCTGTGGGGTCAAAGAGGTGGGGTGACAGGGGTCATGTTTGTTATAAATTAAAAGTGGACACACAGCGAGTTTGGGTGGCAGGATGTCATGTTTGTTATAAGTGGAAACTGCAAGTTTGGGTGGCAGGGAGTCATGTTTGTTATAACTGGACACATAGTGAGTCTGGGTGACAGGGTTCGTGTTTGTTTTAACTGGACACACAGTGAGTTTTAGTGACAGGTTCATGTTTGTTATAAGTGGACGCATAGAGAGTGGTTAGACAGGGGATATGTTTGTTATAAGTGGACACATAGAGAGTGGTTAGACAGGGGTCATTGTCACGGGTCGTTCCGGTTATGGGACAGTATAGTATGATGATGATGAATCCTAAAGATAGACCCTGCGACCCTTAGCTAAACTCAGTACGTGAATACACAAGCATAACTGTGGGTTACCTGAATGAGGCTGGGCAAAACTCAGCGTGGCTTGTTCAAGGCCGGCAGATTTCACGTAGGCCTGACCGCCACTTGGACACTGCAAGGGGGAACAAAACTGCTGTACAAAGCACAGTTCTGGACTCTCTTGGCTGAAGACTTACGTTACAGGGTAGATAATTCGCGTTCCATTTAGATCTCGGTAAGCATTAGATTGAGTAGAGTAGTTATAACTCTCTACGATAAGCCAGACCATGCGTTGTTTGTGGCGTTAGCATCTGCCGACGCAACTCTAACCCACACGTGGCGTGTGCCATAGCGTCTTTGGCATCGGAAGACAGCGGGTTGAGTTAGCGCTGTACGGCAGTGTGGTAGAGCTTATTTCATGAACGTGAAAAAGTGCGCCTAAGCGATTTTAAAGTTAGAAGCGGTCTGGTTTCAGAATAAGGAGCACTACCCCTCCTGTGGTGTAGGCCTGCTAGCTAGTTTCTTTTGATAATAAATATTGTGTGTGTGTTTCAACCAGTGTTTGGCTTGGGTGTGTTCGTCAGCGGTGTTTTTCTGTCATTAGCCTAAAGCGTAGCCAAGGAATCGAACCCTACACATTTAGATTCTTGACAGTCATGTTTGTTAAAAGTGGACACATAAAGAGTGGTTAGACAGGGGTCAAGTTTCACGTAAGTGAAAATGTAAAGGGTTAGGACACAAAGAAAGTGCATATACAGGAGTCAGGTTTGTCAGAGGTGGACACATACAGAGTGGTTAGACAGGAGTCCTGATTTTTTAAAGAGGACACAAAGAGAGGGTTAGACAGGGGTCATGGATGTTTTAAGAACACATAAAGAGTTGTTAGAGAGAGGTCATGTTTGTTATACGCTGACACATAGAGAGTGGTAGACAGGGGTCAGGAGTGTTATAAGTGGACACATACAGAGTGGTAGACAGGGGTCAGGATTGTTATAAGTGGACACATACAGAGTGGTAGACAGGGGTCAGGAGTGTTATAAGCTGACACATACAGAGTGGTAGACAGGGGTCAGGATTGTTTAAGTGGACACATACAGAGTGGTAGACAGGGGTCAGGATTGTTATAAGTGGACACATATAGAGTGGTAGACAGGGGTCAGGATTGTTATAAGTGGACACATATAGAGTGGTAGACAGGGGTCAGGACTTTTATAAGTGGACACATACAGAGTGTTAGACAGGGGTCAGGATTGTTATAAGTGGACACATATAGAGTGGTAGACAGGGGTCAGGAGTGTTATAAGTGGACACATACAGAGTGGTAGACAGGGGTCAGGAGTGTTATAAGTGGACACATATAGAGTGGTAGACAGGGGTCAGGATTGTTATAAGTGGACACATATAGAGTGGTAGACAGGGGTCAGGAGTGTTATAAGTGGACACATATAGAGTGGTAGACAGGGGTCAGGAGTGTTATAAGTGTACACATACAGAGTGTTAGACAGGGGTCAGGATTGTTATAAGTGGACACATATAGAGTGGTAGACAGGGGTCAGGAGTGTTATAAGAGGACACATACAGAGTGGTAGACAGGGGTCAGGAGTGTTATAAGTGGACACATATAGAGTGGTAGACAGGGGTCAGGAGTGTTATAAGCTGACACATACAGAGTGGTAGACAGGGGTAATTAGTGTTATAAGTGGACACATATAGAGTGGTAGACAGGGGTCAGGATTGTTATAAGTGGACACATACAGAGTGGTAGACATTGGTCAGGAGTGTTATAAGCTGACACATACAGAGTGGTAGACAGGGGTCAGGACTGTTATAAGCTGACACATACAGAATGGTAGACAGGGGTCAGGAGTGTTATAAGTGGACACATATAGAGTGGTAGACAGGGGTCAGGATTGTTATAAGTGGACACATACAGAGTAGTAGACAGGGGTCAGGAGTGTTATAAGTGGACACATACAGAGTGGTAGACAGGGGTCAGGAGTGTTATAAGTGGACACATACAGAGTGGTAGACAGGGGTCAGGAGTGTTATAAGTGGACACATACAGAGTGTTAGACAGGGGTCAGGATTGTTATAAGTGGACACATATAGAGTGGTAGACAGGGGTCAGGAGTGTTATAAGTGGACACATACAGAGTGTTAGACAGGGGTCAGGATTGTTATGAGTCGACACATATAGAGTGGTAGACAGGGGTCAGGAGTGTTATAAGCTGACACATACAGAGTGGTTAGACAGGGTACATGTGTGTTATAAGTGGTCACATACAGAGTGTTAGACAGGGGTCAGGAGTGTTATAAGTGGACACATACAGAGTGGTAGACAGGGGTCAGGATTGTTATAAGTGGACACATACAGAGTGGTTAGACAGGGGTCAGGAGTGTTATAAGTGGACACATACAGAGTGGTAGATAGGGGTCAGGAGTGTTATAAGTGGACACATACAGAGTGGTTAGACAGGGGTCAGGAGTGTTATAAGTGGACACATACAGAGTGGTTAGACAGGGGTCAGGAGTGTTATAAGTGGTCACATACAGAGTGGTTAGACAGGGTACATGCGTGCTATAAGTGGACACATACAGAGTGGTAGGCAGGGTACATGCGTGTTATAAGTGGACACATACAGAGAAAGAGTTCTCAAACCTTTTGACTCCAGTGGCAGGTAGATACAGGCTCAATGGCATAAACCAGATTATATGTCCTGGCTAGAAAAGGACAGATGCAAAGAGAGGAAGTTAGGCTCAGTTGAGCGGACATATAGATCACCAGAGAAGAAAGAACCAGTTGAGCGGACATATAGATCACCAGAGAAGAAAGAATCAGTTGAGTTGACATGTAGATCACCAGAGAAGAAATAACCAGTTGAGCGGACATATAGATCACCAGAGACGAAAGAACCAGTTGAGCGGACATATAGATCACCAGGGAAGAAAGAACCAGTTGAGCGGACATATAGATCACAAGAGAAGAGAGAACCAGTTGAGCAGACATATAGATCACCAGAAAAGAAAGAACCAGTTGAGCGGACATATAGATCACCAGAGAAGAAAGAACCAGTTGAGCGGACATATAGATCACCAGAGAAGAAAGAACCAGTTGAGTTGACATGTAGATCACCAGAGAAGAAATAACCAGTTGAGCGGACATATAGATCACCAGAGAAGAAAGAACCAGTTGAGCGGACATATAGATCACCAGGGAAGAAAGAACCAGTTGAGCGGACATATAGATCACAAGAGAAGAGAGAACCAGTTGAGCAGACATATAGATCACCAGAAAAGAAAGAACCAGTTGAGCGGACATATAGATCACCAGAGAAGAAAGAACCAGATGAGTTGACATGTAAATCACAAGAGAAGAAAGAACCAGTTGAGTAGAGATTTAGATCACCAGAGAAGAAAGAACCCGTTGAGTGGACATGTAAATCACCAGAGAAGAAAAAACCAGTTGAGTGGACATGTAAATACCCAGAGAAGCAAGAACCAGATGAGTTGACATGTAGATCACCAGAGAAGAAAGAACCAGTTGAGTGGACATATAATTAAATTGATCCCCAGAGAAGAAGAAGAAACGTGCAGTTTGATAGACATTTAAAAATACAAATTCCCAAAGAAGAATGGATCAGTTTATTAGGCATATAGGCATATAGATCCCCAGAGAAAAAGGGATAAGTATAGTGGACATGTAGACAGATCTTCAAATAAGGGCTCAGTTGGGTGGACACATAGACTGACTGATCTCCAGATAATAAAAAGGGTTCATGTGAGTGTAAATATAGAAAGACAGATCCCCAGAGAATAAGAAGAGCTTCGTTGAGTGGACATACGGAAAGACAGATCTCTAAAGATCTCTAGAAAATAAGAAGGGATCACATAGATAGACAGATCTAAAGAGAGCACGAATGGTTCGGTTCATTGGACATCTAGACAGATCTCTAGAGAATAAGAAGAGATCAATTGTGTGAAAATTTATACAGACAGATCTCAGGACAACAAAAAGGGTTCAGTTGAGTTTACAAATAGAAAGACAGATTTCTAGAAAAAAGAAGGGCTTCGTTGAGTGGACATATCGATATACAGATTTTCAAATCATTTGAGTGGATATATAGAGAAAGACATAATCTCCTGAGAAAAAGAAGGTATGAGTTGAGGTGTCATATAGACACATCTCTGGAGAAAAAAAGGCTCTATTGAGTGGACATAGAATGAGAGATCCAAACTGAACAGGAAGGTATCAGTTGAGTTGACATATAGAGAGTCATATCTCCGGAAAATAAAAAGGTATCAGTTGATTGGACATATAGAGAGTCAGATCTCAAGAAAATAGGGAGGTATCAGTTGATTGGACATATAGAGAGTCAGATCTCCGGAAAATAAGAAGGTATCATTTGAGTGGATGTATAGAGAGTCAGATCTCCGGGAAATAAGGTATCAGTTGATTGGACATATAGAGAGTCAGATCTCCGGAAAAAAAGAAGGTGTCAGTTGCGTGGACATATAGAGAGACAGATCTCCGGAAAATAGGAAGGTATCAGTTGCGCGGACATATAGAGAGTCAGATCTCCGGGAAAAAAAAAAAAGAATCAGTTGCGTGGACATTTAGAG